TATGTGAATAACCTTTTCAACTGCAAATTAATAAAAACTAAATACAAGTAAAATCAAGTATTTCTGATAAATTTTAGTGTGCAAATTGAGATGAGCTATAAATGCAAATACACACTGCATCTCAAAGATTTAATATGAAAAAGAATATAAATATCTCAATAAGTATACATTCATTTTATGTTGAAATATTTTGGATATATTGCCTTAAATTAAAATATGTAATTAATATTAATTTCAACTCTTTGTTTTTAAAATGTCATAATAAATTTAAAATAACATATGGGGTTCATACTTGGTTTCTATTGGAGAGCATTGCTCTGGGTTATAGTTGTTTAGTTTATTTATTTGATTTTCATTACATTTATCAACCCCCAATTCTATGCCAGTATTCTATTCTGGATCTCCTCCTGAGATATGCATTTATTTCTTGATTTATTGTGTATTTTTAAAATTTTATTTTCTAAAATCTTTATTGTTTAAGTATTACATTTGTCCCTATTTTCCCCCCATTGACCTCTTCTAGCTGCCCTCACCTTCTTTCCCCCCCCCCCCCCCACCCTAGGCCTTCACCACCCTATTGTCTGTCCATGGGTTGTGCATATATGCATACATTTCTTTTGGTTGATCTCTTCCTACCCACTCACCCAACCCCACCTTCCCTCTGAGATTTGACAGTCTGTTCCATGCTTCTATGTCTCTGGATCTATTTTGTTCATCAGTGTATTTTGTCCATTAGATTTCACATATGATTGAGATCATGTGAGAAATGTGCATTTACATCAGACATTCTGTGTCTTCATCTTTTGGGGGGGTGGGGGTCTGTCCTGGAGTCCTCTGACGAGCTCTTACCTAGATTGGCTACTGTCATTCTGAGATCCTTCTTTCTTTCCCTTTATTGTTTAATTGTGTCAAAGCCCATTTCCTGGGTCTCACTCATATTCTTCCTTTTCCGTTCATTCCTTTGTTTTATGACACATACTTTTCCATAATTTTCTAAAAAAATGAGTGTGTAGAAGATTAATTTTTCAAATGTCTTTATTCTACACACGCCCTTGACTTATATTTTGTCCCATTATAGAGATAATTTTTCAAAATTTGAAAGGCATTGTACCATTGTGTTTTAGCTTCCTGAGTTGCTACTGAGAAGTTCTAAGTCATTTGATTTCTTACCATTCATACATGATCTCTCCCTCTCCATGTCCATCTTCCTCTCCCTCTCTCTTTTTCCCTCACCTCCCTCTTTGCAGAATCATTTTTGTCTCAACAATGTTGTGAGGTTTCATAACGATGTAACTTGGTGTGGGTCATGCCCTTCAATTCTGGGAAATTCCCTAAAATTGCTTCATTGGTGACTTCCTCCTCTGTTCTTTCTCTTTGGGACTCTATTATTTGAATGAAACAGGTCATTGTTGGCCTGGACTGGTCCTCTAATTATCTTACTCTTTCTCTTTTATTTTCCATCTCTGTCTTTTGCTCTGCTTTCTAAAGTTTCCTCAATTTATCTTCCAGCCCTTCTGCCGAGTTATTCACTAATACTATCATCTAGCTAATATTCCACAGTTCTTTTTTGTTCTTTGACTACTTTTTCTTTTTCACAGCATCCTGTTCTTGTTTTATGGGTACAGTATCTTTCCTGTATCTCTTTCTCCAAGGATAAAGATTGTTTTGCTTTTTAGTTTCCTTTTCCCTCATAATCTCCTCTAGGTTCCCTTTTGTCCAGTGTTTGGTCTCTGTCTTTCATGTTAAAGGCTTCCCCAGCCACGCTGGGTTGTTTGCACATGTTTAGGATGGGGGACCAGAAGCTGGGGTGGAGGCTGTGTGCCTGTGTGTGTGTGAGGGGCTGAGATGTCTTACTAAAGGGAGCTCCCAAGTGAGTTGCTTAAGGTTGTTCCCCTAGAGCCAGGCAGAATTCCCAGAGGAGAACCTGTATGTCTCCTGCCTGTGGGGTGTTATCCTGGCTGCCCACTCTGGGAGCTGAATTGGGGAAGAGGGCTTGGGATCTCAGCATTCAGCAGGTGTGTATTCACCAAACCCACCTGTTTCTGTCAGGCTCCCAGGCTGCTGCTGGCTGCCTTTGCCTGCTATCTGTTTCTGTTTAACAGACTCCCCCAAACTTTGTGGCTCACACTAAAGATGACTTAAAAAAATTCTAGTGATTTTTCACCCATAGCAATATTTATCGGTTATTTGCTCTTTATAGCTATGGACTTGTAATATTGGTGAAAATCCAAGTTAAAGCTTGTCTTAAACTCATTCCCTGCTGTTTGGAATAAGTTTACTTCATAGATAAACATTTGTTCGGAGGATTCCAATAGGTTTTCTTCTTTGTGTACCAGACCTTTTCATATGTTCTGTGATTTTAATTTTCTTTCCATTTGCTTGTTCCTTCAGAGGAGACCTACGTGGGCCCAGTTTGGAAACTTGAGATGGTTTTGTCAGCGAGTGTGTTGGTTCCTGTTGCCTTAGTCCCCAAGGGGACATTTCAAGTTTTTATTTATTGGGTAGTTTTATTTTCCTTGCCTGCCAGGGGAAGTTGGTAGCAAATTACTGGGAAGGCATTTTTGTCTCAGGAATTCACTGCTTTTTCAAATCGTTCCTTTGAAGGCTCTTGTGGTGGAGGCGCTGATGGGGCTTCCCCAAGTCTCCCCAGGGTGGCCAGCCTGTGTGTGAGGCGCTGGTGCAGTTGCCAGACTGCTCTCCTTTGCTCCCCACCAACGCTCCCGCTGTCCCATTCTCTCCCAGTGGGAGTTTGGGAATCTCCAGGTCTCTGGGGGTTATTTCACCCACGTACTTCCCACGTGGTGTTTCCCTGTCAGTGCTGACCCGTTCTTGTTAGTACCTTGACCCATCTGTTTTCACCTGCCCCAAATCGTGTCTACTTCCTCCACGTTTCTAGCCCACTGATACCATTCTTCCTTAGCTCACGTGGGTGCCATAGGCTTTTCTTCCTGCTCTCTGATCCTTTCAGTGGGATCTGGGAAGGGAGGGGCATTAAACACATCAGCTCACATTGTCACCTGCAAGTCTCCTTGGTTACTTTGCCCTCGCTTTTCATCAAGCAGGTTTAATAAGATGTGCTCCTCAGGTTAGGTTAATCTTGAGTGGATATGTTCTTTCCTATGGCTAATAAACCGTGCAAACATGATCTATAGCAGCGGTCTTCGATCCTGGCGGCACTTTAGGATCACCTGGGCGGCTCAGGCAACGTGCTGATGTCCTGGCCATACCCCCGGGAGTTGCGATTTGATAGGCTGGGGGTGGGAGCCAGTCTTCAGCTTTCCTAGACGCTCCCTGGGCAGTGTTGGTGCTCAGAGTGCCACGAACCATGGATCTCAGAGCAATGGGAGCAGGTCCTAAGCCTGTGAGTGCCTTTGATATGAGGAAACAGTAAGAAAAGGAAGCAGCAGGAATAGAAAGGAAGACACTGTAGGGTTGAGGGGAAAGCATGGGATTTAGTGCCTGTGTCTGATGCCCAGCTTCACAATTGAATGTCTGCATAAACTGATATTACGTCTTTGGGGCCCCGCCTCACTCTCTGTAAAATGGCAATAATGATGTTATCTGCCTTGTAGCATTGACGCAAGACAAAAGTGGGTGTCTGTGGAAGCAAGTGCTTATTTTTTTTTTAAAGAAAGAGAAATGTAGTGTTAGAAAAGGGAGGGAAAGAACATGAAAGAAAACAAAAATTCATAAGATTGACAACAGCGGTATCCCTTTAGTTGCCTGCCTGACCTTGGCATGAATCTAAATTGATGATGATTATTTTTTTAAATGGTGAGACCTGCAGGGGACATTCCAGGAAGGAAGTCTAACAAGGCCAAGATGTGGGTCCCAGACCTTTGGCTGCTTCCTTAGCTTTAGCAGCACTCACAATTCCAGGGATGAGCTCACAGATTCTATCCTCATTAAATTGTTATCCATGTTTCCTGCTCATTCTCCCAAAAGACCAGCTGCAGTGCAAACTCAAGATTGATGGGCAGGTGGAAAAGCCCTGAAGAAGTCTAACGACTTTCTAATAAAGTTTGGGAAAAGACCTCATGTCTAACCAGAGGCAAAGGAATCTCTATCATGAGATACCCATTAACCTATCTCCTTTGCTTTCTAAGGTTGATGCCTTAAATCACTTACTCATAGTCAATTAATACGTGCTCGGTACTATAAGATTTTGTGGGGGAAAAACAAACAACCACAACCACAGCCCATTCTTCTTCTTTCCCTCCCCCTCTGTAGTGAGTTGAATTATGAACTCCTCAAAATATATGTCTAAATCCTAACCTTTGTGGGGTGTTTTCTCTGACATCAACCAAACTGGGTGTCTATCAATTCAGTTCAATTCTTACACTCATTAACCAGAGTGAGTGCAGACCACACAGGTTAAAGGCCCAGTCCCACAGCCTGCCCCACTTCAGATGCCAGTTGTAAAACTCAAGCCGACCGTACTTCTGACTGATCATGTACAAATTGAGGATCTTCATGATCCACGCTTCAGGCTTGTTAATTGGCTAGAATGTTTCAGAGCGCTCAGAAAAATAGTGTACTTGTGTTTATTGGTTTACAGAGATTGGCAAAAATATCAACAGAGAGATATAAATTGAATAAAGGAACCAAAGAGAAATTCTGGAGGTGAAAAGTACATTAACTGAAATTAAAAACGCTCTAGAGGCTTAACCAGCAGATTTGAGCAGGCAAAAGAAAGCATCAATAAACTTGAAGATAAGACAAATGAAATTATTCAACTGAGGAGCAGAAAAAATAAGAATGAAGGAAAATGAACATAGCATGAAAGATGTGTGAGATATCATTAAATATACAAATGTACACAATATAGGTATCCTAGCAGAAAATAGAAAGGGGAAGAAAAACACTAAATAAACAATGACTCACATCTCCCCAGATCTGAAGAACTACATGAATATACATGTCCAAGAAGCCCAATGAATAATAAACAATAAACCCAAAGAAATCTACACCAAGAGACTTGGTAGTCAGATTGTTGAAACCCGAAGACAAACAGAGAATTTTGAAAGCAGCCAATGAGATGTGGCTTGTTATGTTCAAGGGATCTTCAATAAGATTAACAACCAATTTCTCCTCTAGAAACATGGAGGCCAGAAGGCATTGGGATGACATAACATCCTGAATTAAGAAAACCAACTATCAATCAAGAATTTTATATCCCTTCCTTGCCCTGGTGAGGTATGGTAATTGGGAGGGGTGGATCCCATAGCTCTACCTTTGGCGTGTCTAATGATGGGAAGGCAGGGGTAGTAGCTTGCAGATGGACCTGGTAGTCCGCCAGCAAGCAGCCCTGAAGGTGCCCTGGGGGATCATCAACATGAAGATGGGCTGGTACATCTCTTCCCAGCAGCCTGAGGAAGTGGAGGTGGAAGAGTTGAGCCTGTTGCTAAGCAACACACTCCACAGACAGAGATCCCCAGGTGTTTCATTTGGTTTCTCAGTGTTTAATTTGGTAAATGCCATCATGGGAGTGGCATCCTTGGCTTAGCTTATGTATGGCTCATACCGATATCTTTGGATTTAGATTCTTGTTGCTGGTAATTGCTCACCTGGCTTCATTCTTAGTTTATCTCCTGCTTAGTATGTGTACTCAGACAACTGTGACATCTTATGAAGATCTTGGACTCTTTGCATTTGGATCAGGTGGTGGTGGCAGGCACCATAATAATTCAGAATATTAGAGCTATGTCACTTTATCTTTTAATTATTAAAACAGAGCTTCCTACTGCTATTTCAGAATTTTTGTCTGAAGACTATAGTGGGTCTTGGTATCTTGATGGATAAGCCCAACTAATAATCATTTGTGTTTTCATTGTGTTCCTTCTTGCACTTCTTCCTAACATAGCCTTTCTTGGGTGCACAAGTAGTTTATCATTTTTCCTTATGGTGTTCTTTTCTCTTGTGATAATAATTTTAAAAATGGTCCATCCCTTATCCTCTGACATTAAATTGTATAGAGCAATACATCCAGATTTCAAATGCTGCAGAAGTAAAGCAAAGCTCTCTCATTTCTCCAAAGAGAGTGCTTATGCCATACCAATCATGGCCTTTTCATTTCTCTGCCATACTTCAAGATTGCCCATATACTGTGGACTTCAAAGCCCTTCAAAGAAAAGAATGTAGAATGTAACCAATATAGCAAAATTGCTTTGCTTTTTCTCATGTATTTTATATCTACACTCTTTGGGTACATTATTTTTTATTACAAAGTGGCATCTGATATACTATAAGATTATAATAAATACTTGCCACATGATGTTGTCATGATTTGAAGTTATGCATACTGTTTGCTGTACTTTTGACAGTCCCTTTAATCCAATTCCCCTCAAGAAAAGCTTTAATGATGATGTTTTTCTCCAGTTTTCCACTCTCATGAATTCACCTTTTTTTTTTTTTTTTTTTTTTTTATTACTCTAGCACTCAATACTATCATTGTTTTACTTGCAATATTTGTTCCTGACATTAGGAATGTGTTTGTTGTAGTTGGTTCCAGTACATCAACATGTTTGATTTTTTTTTATATATTCTAAGGACTAATTTACCTTAAAATTAGCAGAGAGAATTTTCTCTAATGGAAAAAGCTTGGGGCTTCTGTTTTGCTCATCTTTGGAATTTGGTTGGGAATTTTAGTTTAGCACTTTTCACTTTTAATTGGATTAACAAACAAGAGATATATTTTCCCATTTATTAAGAAGAATAATCTCCATATGCAAAAAGGAATAGTTATGGAAAGCACCTTGGAGGAATCCTCTTTATATGGGTTAACATTTTTGTAAACATTATTAACAGAAAAGTGGAACAAAACCAGAGTACGTAGGGGAAAGTGGGCTCTTAGTAGTTTTAAGAAACAAACTCAAATTTTTATTTATTTATTTTTTATTGCTTAAAGTATTACAAAGGGTATTACATATGTGTCCTTTTTTTAACAACAACAAAAAAAGAGTTTTGGTAAAATAATCTTTCCATAATGGAGGAGAAATTAAGACATTTCCAGACAAACGGTAGCTTAGGGAGTTCATGACTAGAATAAATGGACTCCCTGCTCTAGAATAAATGTTAAAGGGAGTCTTTCAGGCTTAAATGAAATGACAGTAGACTATAGATTAGTTGGACAGTAGACCATAGATTGAAGCCATAAGAAAAAATAAAGAACACTGGTAAAGGTAACTAAACAGGTAAATGTAAAATCCAGTATTATTTCACTTTTTTATGGCTTGTAATTTATCTTTTTCCTACATGATTTAATAGGCAAATTCATAAAACAATGATTGTAAGTCTACATTAATGGACATACAACATATAAGGATGTGATCTGGAACCATAACAATACAGGATGGGACAAAAGTAGGGTTACACTCGTTCGTATGGAAAAATAATACAACAATCCTATATAATAAAAGTGTAATAGGCAAATTGACTGAATGATGAAACAACCAGTCAGCGGGGGGGTTGAGGGGGGGCGGTGAGGCTGGTGTGCCAAGGCGCATGCCATCGGGCAGAGGAAGGGGACAGTGATGGGGGTGGGGCGGTGGTGACCAGAGGTGGTGGAGGGGTGATGGGGGGGGGGGCAGAGAGGCTGGCCGCTCACTGGCCTGCACTGTCCCCTGATCAGCCTGCCCGGTCGCCTCCCTCAGAGGGAGGTCAGACTGCGGCTTAAGTCATCAGTAGGAAATCCCCTGAGGGCTCCCGGAGTGTGAGAGGGCACAGGCCCAGCTGAGGTACAACCCCCCCCCCCCCCCCCAGTGCACAAATTTTTGTGCACTGGGCCTCTAGTTAATAAATAATAATACAAAAATAAACTCTGTGTTTTGCGTACTCACAACTGTAAACCTACTTTTGCCAAACCCTGTATAAAGAGGGAGAGAGAGTGTTTGCATACTATTGAAACGATGTTGGTATTTTTCAAACTAGGTTGTTATAAGTTTAATAGTTTAGTTGTAATCCCCAAGGGACCACTAAGACGATAACTAAAAAAAAATAATAGGAAAGGCAAGAAGAGGGAATCAAAATGCTACACTACAAAAATCAGTCAGTACCAAAACACTCTACAGTTTTTCAGAGTACCCATAATGGTTTTTACTTGTGGGTTCTCACACCCTGTCTGTGTGAGAAGAGTCAGTAACATACTGTACCCTTTGACAGCTTGGGACACTTAGCTGTGAGGTGATGGTTTGAGCCAAGTTTCAAGAAGCCAAGTGAAAGCATTGGGTTAAAGACAGAGCATGAAAGAAATGAAGAAAGCACGGGACTAGAAGACAGTCGAAGTGAGTTCTAGCTGCCTGGGTTCTTTCCTGCTAACCAGCTATGTGACCTTGGACAGATCTGTTTTCTTCTCTGTAAAGGGAGGATGTGGAACTAGATCATCTCAAAGGTCTTTCCAGCCTGATGATGAGCACCAAGGTTTGCTCACTGTCCTGCTGGATGGGGCCCGCCCTCTGCACTGAGGAGCATGAGGGCTGGAGACTTCTTTCCAGTAATTTCCAGTGCAGATGTGCACTCTCTGAGGCTAATTTTAAAAGGAATGAAAGTATCATAGGGCTGGAAGGGACTTTGCAAAGTGACTTACGCAAGGTCAAGGACATCTGTGGCAATACTGACTTACTGTCTGGGTAGAGTTGCAGAGTTATCTTCAGAGGCAGCATGCCCAGTATCGATTTGAGACTGTGAGTCAGTTTAGGCCGGCATTCAGTTCAAGTAAATGAGTGTGAATATGAGGGTCTTCGTGTGCTGGCCCCAAAGCTTCACACAGGAAAGTCAGAGCAAGTCCTGCCCTTGAGGAGCCCACACAGTCCACCTGCCCCAGGGAGGAAACTGGCAGGTGGAGAGGTCGGGTTTGTGGATGAAATCACACAAGGTGTGGCAGAACTGGGGCAGGAGCCAGGTCTGATTTCTAAACTAGAAGACGGCATCAGGATGGATCAGCCCAGGCACCGTCCTCCTGGTCCCCCGAAGAGGTGGCTATAAAACTCCTTTTGGAAATAGCTCTGGTCTGGTGCACTTGACTATAGATATTTTGTTCTAAACAGTAGCCAGAACATCCCAAGTTGAACTCAACACTCACTTCCTGTTGTTCTATTTAATTGAAAAACACACAGTCCTGCCCTTTTTCACTTCTGGTCAGTGGCATAAGTTCCTCATTCACCACATTGCAGAACACTTGCCTTCAGCGCCCTGGGGGCAGGATGAGAGGCGGAGGAGGCAGGAGCAGAGGCTGAGACCTGAGCCCCGTGAGTTCTTCAGGCCCAAGAGCTGCACATGTCAGAGCGGCAAGGTTTGCAAAGCTTCTCCTTTCTTCATCTGGAGGTGAAGAAACAGGCCTGCTTCCTCTCCAGGCCCTTGGTGAAAACACAATTGTTAAAAGGACTTGCTTTCTCTTTAACCATCACATTAACTCTTTACTAATTGTCCTGGGCTTTGGCAGGGACATCTATCATAATTTAGTACAGCTTTATATGTGTTTGAAATCACCTTATGACCCTGATGTCATCAGACTCAGGCTGGAATTGTATGGTCCGTAAAGAATTAAGCATAGGCACTGTAGGTGGCTGAATGGTGGCGGCCAGGACATCAGATCCTAATCCTTGGAAACCTGTAAATTTTACCTTAATTAGAAAAGAATCTTTGAAGATGTGACTCAGTTAAGGATTATGAAATGGGGGAGATTAGCCTGGGTTATCCAGTTGTGCTCCCAATGCCACCAGAAGTGTCCAGATAAGGGAGAGGCAGAGGGAGATGACACGCACAGAAGCGGAGAGACCCTGTGAAGACAGAGGCGGAGACTGGAGTGATGTGGCCACCATCAGAACAATGCCAGCAGCCACCAGGAGCTGGGAGAGGCAAAGAGAATTCACCTCTCGGGCCTCTGGTGGGAGGACAGTTCGGCAAACACCGTAATTTCCACCCAGTGAGGCTGATGTTGAACTTCTGGTCCCCAGAATCCTGAGAGAAGAAATTTCTATAGTTGGAAGCCACCAAGGGTGTGGCATTTTGTTACAGCAGCCACAGGAAACTAATACGGGGGAAAAAAAAAATAGCTTAGGCCTCCACTGTTAGAGCAGTCTGGCAAAGTCTATGGATCTCTTCTCAGAAAAACGGTTTTCAGTCTTACAATAAAATACAAAAAGGATCATGCAGGAGGACAAATGCACTGAAATACAGGTGGTAGAAGGTAAGACCAC